TCTCGCGGGATGCTCGAAGGACCTTTACGAGAAGCCCCCACCACTGGCGACAGCAGCCCGCCACAGCGCCTGAGCCGACCACACGGGCTCCTAACCCGGAACCTGCCCCTGCTGCCCCTGCTGCCCTCACAGTCCTACCCTCCGCGCTTCCTCACTGGCAAAGGGGGTGCTCATTCTTTTTTTCTGCTTGTACGTCAGCCACGTGAGCCATAAACTCCCCTCAGCAATCTCTCTTCATGGTTCCTCTGAGCCTAGGGGAGGGGAAGAAGGCATTTCTCCCCAGTTGAGAACCTCTGCTCTGAAGTGTTAAGGTCACCCTGGCTCCAAGAGGTGAGAAGACCCTGGGCAATGTGCCTCTGGAGGCCCCAGCGGGGTGTGCCCTTCTGGATCTCCAGACTCTGAGGCTTGCTTTTGAGCAAGCGGCTGTGGCAGCCAGCGGCCCCGAGGCTGGCCCTCTGCCGATGATGCCCTTTCTCTTCTCTCCCCTGGAGTCAGGGCACCCAGCTCCTCCCTTCCACCTGCAATGCTGCGAACACAGCCCACTGACTTGAGCTGGGGGTCCTGAGAGAGGGGGGTGGGGAAGGGAGAAGGTATAGAATGGGGTGCTGGTCCTGCTGCTCATTGCCTTCCCCTTGGTTTTTCTATGGCTGAGCTGATAAGGACAATGAGCGCCCAAAGAAGCCCGCCCACCTGGCCATCGGCACGGGGCCTGTATGGTCCTAAGACAGGGGAACAGGACAGAGACCAGCTTCTGTTCCAGCTTTTGCTGCTGAAGCTGGGGCAGGAAGGATGTGGGGAAAAAACAGAGCCTATTTTCCTGATTCCCATGTGTACCTTTGCATTTCGATGGAAATGAGTACCAGCATCAGAGGGGCCAGAATTTACCATGTGTTCACACATGTGAATTCTACACCCGTGACCTCCTTTAATTCTCACTGGGGAATCCAGACCTGGGAGGGTGCTTCTCCCATTAGTCTCAGTTTTCAGATAAGTAAACCGGGTGTCAGAGAGACCAGCTCATTTGCTCAAGATCAAGGTTAACCAACTACCGAGGGATGCGCCAGGACCAGACTCTTGGACTGCCTGACCCCAAAGCCTGTCTTCTTGAGCCATCAAGCTGCACTGTCACCTGGGAGAAAATATTACCAAAAAGGGATGCCACTCAACATCACAACAAAATATAAAATACTGAAAATAAACTTCATAACGAGTAAGACCTACAAAAAAGGCCTGAAAGCTTTACAAAATGACTTACAGAAACAGGGACAAGCTCTGCGTCTGGGTGGGAGAGTTCAAGGCAGCGACATGCCGATTTCCCACTGAAGCGCTTGTCGTGACAGACAGGTAGTTATGACAGGCCAGGATCTGGCCCAGGAGCTCTATGCTATCTCCTTTAACAACGGCCTGTGAGGCAAGTGTGGACATCACGAGCCCCATTTCATAGGCCAGAGAGGTCAGCCTCCTTGCCCAAGGTCCCTGGCGGAGAGGGTGAGAGCTGCAAGGCAAGCTCAGGTCTGGTGGCCAGTTGTCTGGTGGGGGAGGGGCGCGCGCTACATCCTCTCACCTCTCACGTGCACCAGGCATCCTTCTAGCTCTCTTCTGAGACTGAGATTTCTTTTTTAAACTTCTGCACTGTTTTAAGTGGACTTTATTTTTTAGAGAAGTTTTAGGTCCACAGTAATATTGAGCAGAAGGTACAGAGATTTCCCACATACCCTGCCCTCACCCCCACAGAGCTTCCCCTATAACGACGTTCCCCACCACAGTGGTACGTTTGTTACAATCAGTGAACCTGCACTGACACATCATTGTCACCCAAGGTCCACAGTTTACTTTAGGGCTCACTCCCGGTGCTGTATGTTCTATGGGTTTGGACGGATGTATAACAACGCACACCCACCTTTACCCCGAGGATTCTGAACGCAGGCTGGGAGGCAGTGGTGCTTGGGGGTGAGGTGTCAGGTGGTCCCAAGGCCCCTCCTGGACCAGTCACACCTTCAAGGACATTGAGAGGAGCCGTCCTCTGGTGCTCATACGCGGAGCTCACTCAGGCAGCTGCAGGCTTAAGAGGTAGCCGACAACTGGCATCTTCTGGGCAGGGGAAGAAGCAGGCCCACCTCCCTACCAGGGTCCAGCAGGAAGCTCCAAGCACGCACCCTACATTCCATGCTACTGAAATCAGGGTTGCATTTTCACTTAAAAACATGTAATTGGATCTCTAGCTAATGGGAGGGTTTTTTCTCTGGTGCCAAGAATTTTAATTTGACACCTGCAAATTCTTTCTGACAAAAGGGATTTTCATATAAAGTGTGCAAGGAGCAGGAGACACTGAGGCAACAGCTACTTATCCTGAATGACGGAAAAACAGAACCAACCGAGGGTGCCAGAAGGGCAGGACTACCAAGTATCGCTGGAGTAGAACTGAGCGACAATAGCAGGCAAGACACCCCAGCAAGGCCAAGTGCCAACGGGACTATGGAACATGGTGGTGTCTCTGAGGCTCTGCCCCTCCCTGCGCCCAGATCTTGCATCATTAACACCTGGGCACACTCTGTTCCCTGAGGCCAGTGGCTCTCACCAAGTGTGAGAAGCATGTGAGTTTATCATACTGGGAGAAAGAAATATTTGCAACACCAATGACAAACATAATGTCCCCAATACACAAAGAGCTTCTACAAATCAATAAGGAAATGGACAAAGGGTCTGGGGGCTGAAGCTTTTGCAGGATATACACAGCTCTCCACAGCTCACCACATGGAGAACTGTTCTTAAGAACCTGTGGAACAGGCGAAGGCGGCCAGAAATGGGGATGATGATACAACTATAAACACCAGCTCCCCCGCTCCCATGTGGTTCTGATGTGGGTAGCTGGGACAAACACTTGATGGAACACAGGCATGATGGTTAAGTGAGTAGAGGATGAGCTTTGGAGTCAAACAGATCTGGTTTTGAGTTTGGCCTCACACTTCCTAGCTGTTGGGGGGTACTTTACCTCCCTCAGTCTGAGTCTTCTGAACTGTAAAACAGAAAGAGTGACAGTACTTCCCCACAGAATTGTCCAGGGTTCCCCAGATACCACGAATCAAGGGTCCAGCATAGTTCCTGGCACAGGAATGACTTCATACAAGCTATTGTTAAGAATCACCCGATCCCGGGGCTCTGGGATCGAGCCCCGCGTCGGGCTCCCTGCTCAGCCGGAAGCCTGCTTCTTCCTCTCCCACTCCCCCTGCTTGTGTTCCCTCTCACGCTGTCTCTCTCTCTCTCTCTCTCCCTGTCAATTAAATAAATAAATAAAATCTTTAAAAAAAAAAGAATCACCCGAAACAGTGGGATAACCTGCACCTTGAGGCCCCTTGGCTGGATGTAACATTGTGGCTAAATTCTCCCCACCAGTCTGGCTGTGACCTGATCTGACTGAATGGGCTTTCAGGGTCTTAAACCTCAGGGAGCTCTGACTGAGATCAGGGCTGTGTTTGGAAAAACTGGGAAAACCCACGAGAGAGTGATTTCTAGATATCCCAGAAAGGAAGCTCCAGGAGAAGGGGGATTTTGTGTTGTTCATGGCTGTATTTCCATTGCCAAGTACACAGTATGCCCTCAAGGTTGCCAAAGAGACTGGGCAGGGGACACTTAGGAATGTGATGTGGTGAAGAACCAGGATAGGGCAGAATCAGGACTCATTACTGATTATCATGGTCCCCAACTCCCTCCCTGGAGAGATGGGAAAGCAGGGACTCTCTGCTCCTGTTACGGCAACAGTCCCCCCTGAGCCCCAAGAGCAGGTGCAATCCTTTCCCGGCAGGGGCCCGCAAGATATGCCCAAAGCTCTGAGAACATTTGGCACTTCAGCAAATCGCGTTTCCACAGCCGCAACCCGAACAGAGCTGTTTAATGGACTGCGTCTCCTCCTGCTCCCTGTAAATGCACACGCACACAGAAACCCATCACGAGCAGAGAGAGCTGCATGGGATTAAACAAGTCAATTTAAAGGACTGAAAACTCAGCTGCTTCCAGTGAAGTCCTAGCAAAGTTCTGCTTTCCCTTTCTGTCCTGAAATGAGGGCTGTGAGTGTACAGTGAGTCACCCCTAACTCAGGCAGAACCGGGCTGTGTCCTCCTGGGCCCCACACTGCAGTGGGGTGCTGAGGGGAAGGGAGAGAGAGGCCGTGTGTGTGTGTGCGCGTGTGCGTGTGTGTGCACGTGAGTGGGGCAGGCAGGAGGGGTCAAGGGCAGATGCCCAGACCATCTGTTTTGGATTTTTCTGGAAATGCAGAGTACCTCAGAGGACGGAGAGGCAGACACCTGCCCATCTGCATCTCTTTTCAGCTCAGGTTTAAGAAAGCAAAGTCAGGCTGCAGGAAAACTACCCTGGGCCCCACACAGCCTGGTACCAGCCTCAGGCACCTCACGCACAGAAGGTTGTGAGCAGTGTCCCTCTCCCCTCTCCCCAACAACCCCAGCTCTTGTCCACTCCCATGTTCCCAATGGGCAGTGTGGGGGATCTGTGGATTCACGTGCCCACTGCCTCAGGGGGCACACACAGCTCTGCCTGGAGCCCACAGCTGCCCAGAAGACGGAAGGAGAGGGACCAGTTGAGGCACAGCCCGCCAGCGTCTGACAGGCAGCCTGGAGCTAGGATGGGTTCAGAGAAGGGATGCTACCCTGGCTGATGGCAACACCCAGCTGCAAATCCTGCCCCTTGGCTGGGAGGCTGGGGAGTCCTGACCAAGAACCACCGTAGCCTAACTGCACAGAATGGACCACTGCCGAGGATGGGTGGGGACAGGTGGGGCCTCCCCAAGGGGGCTGAAGGATGCAGGGCCCAGCTCTCCTTCCCCTTCTCTGGGCTAGCCTCTCTCTTCTGCTCTTGACCCCAACACAGCAAAGCTTAAAGGGACAATTTCAAACCGGAGGGCAGAATGGAGTCTGGGTGAAATGAGCAGAACGAAAGCTCCAGAGGGGCCAGTGCCGTGCGGCCGGGCACTCAGCATTTTCCGAGGGTCAGTTCACCCTCACAGCCATGTGCTGCCACTGCCCATTGAGAAGAGAAGGAACCGGACGGGCAGAGTTGTGAAGTGACTTACTCACGGCCAGGAAGCTAAGTGGGGCCAGACCTTGCCTTCGGGTGCCCAACCCACAGCCGAGCTGCCCACCACCACACCCCCTGCCTTCTACGGTCAAGCCAGGTCCCCCCCACCCCCCCACGGCTGGTGTTCTTGCTGATGCATTGACCCAGTGCTCTTCAGAAGGGCCGGCGGAGGAAGTCCTTGTTCCCAAAGCCAAGAGCATTAAACCCAGCTTTCCCCGGAAGCGATGCACATTTACCAGGTAGGAAGAGAGCAATTTTTTGGATGCTGATTTAAGAGAACGACAACAAAACGAGCACTTCTCATCTACCTGGTCCCATGAGCCACTCAAAAGGGGAGGCTGGGTAGCCCTGCACAGAAGGAAAGGGGCACACGTGACCTACCTCGTCGGATTCATCCGATAGCGTCTGCAGCAGGATGGGGAAGAGGCTGTCGGTGTGCCGGAACATCTGGAGAGCAGAGAAGCGGGGGCACCCGTGAGCATTGCCCCCCCCCCCAGTGGATTCGGCATGGATGGGGTCTTACTGCACTGCACGGACCACCCCCACGCCCTCCCAGGGCCCCTCCAGCATCTGTCACTCCTCTGCCTGACAGGGGCTTTCTAGAACTGCACTGACCAGAATCCTACCAAGCACGAGGCGGCCCCCGAAAACCAAGGTGTACCCCAAAGCAGCCCCCAGCTTGGAAGGGCCTCCGGGGCTGACGGGCCCGGGGACTCACCTTCCGGGGAGTCTTGATATAGAGGTGGTACAGCCACTTCAGGACGGCGATCCTGGTCATCATCCCGATGGCCATGTCACTGAGGTGGCAGTTTAGGACCTGCACAATGCCATCGAGGTGGAGTGTGACCGGGGCCCTCTCGGTGCTGTGGGCAAGATCACGGAGGAGACAGGTGTTGAAGCCACTGGCGCCCCTCCGCCCTGGCCGCAGCGCCACCCCGGTTCCGCACTCAGAACCACACTCCGCCTCCCTCTCCTGGGCGCAGCGGTCGGGGGCGGGCAGGTGGTGCCCACCCTGGCATGGCTCCCGGAGGGCTGGCTTCACCGCCTTGACCTTCCTCCTTTCTTTTCAAGGCCAGAGCTGTGACAACCACAGGTGGGGGAAGAGGGCCAGTCTGCTGCATGCCTGCCCGCCTCCCCAGCACTAGCCTGGCCTGGGCAGAAAACCTCTCTGATGTCACCGAGCTGGGGCCCAGCAGACCTCGGGGCTGGAAGGCTGTTCAGCATCTCCAGACCCTTTGTTGATAAAACAAAACCACCACCTCCCACGAGTCCAGGGCAAAGCCCTGGAAATAGCCCTGAAGAGCCAACAGGTTTTTTCACCGGGCAAACGAAGAACTCTTCTCGAGTAAGGATAGGGCTCGTGGCTTTAGATCTTGCCATACTCCAGGCCATTTGGCACAGGGTTTGGCTTGGTTGAGAAGCCTTGAGAGTTGCCTGTGAAGCTGTAATGCTTTCGTCTGAGTCGGGGAAGGAGCAATACAGCCTCTGCCTCTGAGAGACAGAGCCTGTTCGGACTGCGCTTCGCTCCAGTGGGGCACAGGCTCCCGGGCCCAAAGCCTCGCCGGCGTCCGGGCAGAGAGAGGCCCCTGCCCAGCAGCCCGGAGGAGACTGGCTGCCACAGCCCTCTGCCCGAAGCACGGCTCCCAGGCAGAGGCTGGAGCTTCTAGGGGTGGGGGCAGCACGGGCCGAGAACCTAAGGATTGTTAGCGAGGGGCTCCCTTCCTGCGACAAGTCATGCCGCCCAAAGGTCTCATGACAGGTCCCCCCCGGGGGCTGCAGTTCCTGAGGACCCCGGCCAGGCAGTTCAGCTGCCTGCCGGGACACAATGGTCTCGCGTGGTATTTCTAGGCTGCTCAATTATTCATTTGCAGCAGGAACTCGATGCCTGTGCTTCCCTAACTCGACCGCAGCCTCTCTGAAGCTCATTTGATATGAATTCCTAAAGGGCCCTGCTCTCAGCTCTGTAACTGCTCAGCGGAACTGCTATTCACTACGGTTTGATGATTCCCCATAGCGCTCATTTCAGGGGTGAGAGTGGGCACTCCCGTCCTCTGGTAGCCGGAGGGGCTGGGCGTGCTGAGCCTCTGGCCGGGGCGGCCCCTGAGATTTCCCCAGGAGTCATGTGGCCGGAAGTTCTGGGGTCTTCTGAGAATATCCAAACGTCTAGATTCTTTGGGAGCCTAAGACAGATGGGGAAACTAAGGCACAGACAAGTCCAGGGTGGCAAATGCAAGCTCCCAGCCAATCTCTTCAGCAACTCCTCTCCCACACTCACTATCTAGTAGAAATACAACATGAGCCACCTGTGGAATTTCACATTTTCAAGTTTTGTACTAACAAGTAACAAGAAACAGGTAAAATTTTAATGATATATCTTTAATGACTCTAACATACCCAAACAACAGCATTTCAACATACGATCAATACAATAATCAACACACGAGTCACTCAGGGTACTTCATATTCTCTTCTGTGTCCTAAGTCTTCGAAACCCCGCGCGCGCCTCACCCCGACAGCACATGTCCGTTCAGACCAGCCACACGGCACGTGCCCAGTAGCCCCACAACAGCGGCTACCGCCACAGACATCAGGGCGCGACAGTGTTCAGCTAACGAGCTACCCTACAGCTTCCAGAGCATTCCCTTCCCTCTCTGACAACTTCCTAGATGCTCCCTCTGCTCCTGCTGATGACCAGGACTTACTGTCTCATCTCTAAGTCCTTCTTTTTCCCATCCTGCTGGCCTCCTACCTGGCTCCTTCCAGCATGCTGTTATAGTTCTTCTCCTTGAGAAGCTGGAAAAGTTCCAGAAACCTACCCGCAGCCCAAGGCCTTAACAAAGGAGGAGCTCAGGATGCTGTGAGGAAGGAGCAGAAGCCGTCCCGGCCCTGCCTCTTTTTTCCTACCCTGGTGAGCCCCCAGTCCACAGTGAGTCCCTTTCCTCAGCAGGAGCGGCAGGGCATTCCAGCTGCCACATGGGGCCCAGGGTGCCAGGAGGACCCTGTGCCTGGCAGGCCACCACCACTTTCTTAGCTGAAATGGCCCCCTTGGGAGCCAGGCCTTGTTTTCACTCCCCCAGGGGAGTCAGAACTGTACTGGCCAGCAATGGCTGTGTCCTAAGCTACTGGTGAGGAGGAAGGCAGCGCCAAGCCCAGCTTCCCCAACTCCACCCTGCAAATCAGGCCCTGAGGTTACCCAGTCAGCAAGTGGTAGCACCAGCAATTTGAATGTGAGCAGTCGGAGTCTAGAGTGGCCTCGTCCACCACATGCCACTGCCTCCCAGTGGGCCAGGCTCAGGAGAGTCCACTTCCAACTGGCCCCTGGCAGAGGCAGCAAGATGGCAGCCCCTCTGGGGACTGGCCACTCCCTGGCCAGGTCAGACCTGGCAGCCCCATGTACTGGAGGTAGAAAGAGGTCATCACGTATACCTTTCACCGTATTTTCTTATCAGTATGGTAGACAAAATCTCTACGTGGGGTGAGAAAGGATACTGGGAAAGCCTGGTGCCGATCCATGTGGGGGCACTCCAAATCTGAGCGGCCCAAATAGGGCTTCAAGATGCTAGACGGTCCCTGGGGCAGCTGGGCTCCTTGCTTCAGTGTGGTCTCTTGCTTCACTTTTGGCCAGCTCAGTGTCTCCTCTGAGGGACAAAGCAAAGGCCAGCCCATGGTGGCATCTCCCTCAGGTGGCACTGTGTCAAGGCCAAACAATGAAGGATTTCATGGAGCGGTGTGTGAGAACTGGCAGTATTTTGTGCGTTAACATGACTTCCCCACAACAGAACTCCCCAGACACGGGCACCTTCAAATCACTGCCGAAGCAGGTGTCAACTTCAACCAACCAAGAACATCATAGCCGAAAGGGACCTCATGGTTCAAGTAACTTGATCCTTCAGTGCACGGATGAGACAGTATGAGACCTGTCCGAGGCCATGCGGCCATGCGCTGAAAACTTATTCCTGTAGCTGGCGACATTCTCCATGGGTCTCACTTCCCCTGGCTGGCTGGAGGGGAGGCTCACGGGAAGCAGGCGCACCCCAGGGCGCCAGGGAGACTGATCTTTGTGCCCAGGAAAGATCCCGCCAGCTGTCAAGGAGGTGGCTCTCAGCGGCTCCGCTGGGTGTGGTTGGCCCCTGTGTGCTGGGCTCCTAACGTGCTCCGAGGGAAGCCAGAACTCCGTGAGAAGCCAGGCCCTTCTTCCAGAGGGCAGGCTGCAGGGCATACTCAGCTGCTGCGCTGCTACTAGCCAGGAGTCTGAGATGGGGTAGCCTCCACCCTGGCTTCCCTTCCCCAGAGAGCAGAAGGCAGCTCACTCACAGTTTAAAATTTATTTCTGCATCGGTTCCAAACAGTCTAGACTAGTCACTCCTGGGGGCTTCTGAGTTATTTCAAGGTGTCTGCAAAACTCCATTTCCACTGCACATTTTCTCATAAGGCATCTCATAACTAATGTCTTACACATATATGTACTACATTTTCCAAATGCATGGCACTACTGTGGCCATTAAAATACCGACTTATTAAATAATACTTCTGATACTACTAATAAATAATGATAAATTCCAGTGGTTCTCTCTGGGAGGTGGCACTTCACTTCTGTAATGTCTAATTTTGTATGGTACTAGTATGTTACATCTCTAATCAAATTAGAAGAGAAGAAATAAAAAAAAGAATTGTTTCTGAACTCAACATTGTTTTTTTTATAAAGTATCTTTACAACTTCTTTTCAGTCAGCAGATGCTCAAAGTTGGGAAGCACTGAATTCCAGATCTTTCTGCCTGCCTTTCTGCAGCCAGCTATACCAGGAGACCTATACTGAATGTTGCTGATGACACCGCAGCCCTCGGCGAGGCCCAGGGCATCAGAGTGGACGCCTGTGTCCACGGTAACACCTGTCCCGGGCTCCCACATCAGCTGAGTGAGGGAGGCTGACGTGCGGTTTCTGTAACTCTCCCAGTGCACCCACTAAAGGTCATACCAGGGGGCTTGGGAGGAAGACCGGCCTGGCTTGAATTCCAACTTGGCCACTAAGGAGCTTAGAGATTTTGGGCAAGAAGTTAACCTCACTAGGCCTGTTTCCTCATTTGTAAAATGGGGATAATAATGAGGTTCTCGTAATAGTAACTGCACTAAAATGTGTAAAGAGCTTTCTGTGGGCTGGGCACCGTTCTATTCTCTTTACATATTCAACTCATAGGAGCTCCACACCCCTAGGAGGTAGGTATTATCACTGCACCCGGTTTACAGATGAGGACACTGGGGCAGGGAGCAGGGCCACAGAGTCAGGACGTGTGTCCAGGCAGTTGGACTGCACTGTGCAGAGGATTCATGGGAGCCGAGGGCAGGCAGTGGGGCTGGACAGTCGCAGGGCAGGTTCTGTTTCTTGGTGACCCTGGAAGGTGCCCTCTTGCCCAAGTGCAGTCCCCCTCTGGCAGCACCTACTGGAGGAAGCATGCGCCCACCCTACTGTCCTCCACTGCCATCTCCAAGGAGTGGGGGGCCCAGGCACCCTGGCTCGGGGTTCACGACTCCGAAGGCCGCCCCCCTCTCTGGCACAGCTACTGACTCAGACCGCAGCTGCCACGAGGAAGGGGCCATTCGTGGGAGACAGAAAGCTTGAGATGATTTGCTCTTGGTTTTTAATTTTAAAAGGGTAGGATCCGACACGGGCTCCTGAATGACAGGTATAAAGCAAAGCCTGGTTCCAACGAGGTAGTTCCTCGCCTCGGCCTCTAGACCCGGCCCGGCAAATGGCGCCCCTGCCTCCCAAGCGAGGCGGCGGAGAGTCCTGCCCGCCTGCACGGTCAGTCGGTGATGTCCGATCTCTGCCTCCTCCTAGACCTCCCTCCACCTCGCACTGCCAACTCCGTGGAGCAGGATAATTCCCCGTGGCCTGGACAACAGTGACAGGTCTGCAACAGGCTTCTGTGCTCCCACTGTTGCCCCTCCCTCACGTGCCCTCCCGGGGGCTGCCACAGGACCTCCCATGTCACAGGTTGGTACCTGGCACCACCACTTAGCAGGCAGGCTCCCACGGCCTTGAGAACAAAAGCAGGGTGCCATCTTCCTCCACCTCCATCCAGATCCCCCCCACCGCCGAATCCAGGATCCAAACCTGCCTCCTTAACCACCCCTCCCCGAATCCAGGATCCAAACCTGCCTCCTTAACCGCCCCCCCGCCCCGAATCCAGGATCCAAACCTGCCTCCTTAACCGCTCCCCCCTCAGAATCCAGGATCCAAACCTGCCTCCTTAACCGCCCCCCCCGCCCGAATCCAGGATCCAAACCTGCCTCCTTAACTGCTCCCCCCCTCCGAATCCAGGATCCAAACCTGCCACCTTAACCGCACCCGGGGGTGCTGAGAGCCACATGGCACAGAGCCCTTGACTGGCCCACTCACACACCTGTTCCTCCTTCCACCCCAGCTCGGGAAATGCCAGGATATCCTGAGTTGGCTCAAGCCCCAAATCTAGAAGTTATTTTTTCCCTCATGTCTCTCCTCTCGCTCCACCACATGCATCCGCAAATCCTGTCAATTCACCCTTCACAGAAGAGAAAAAAACCTCCCCAACTTTCTCCATGTTCTGCCCCCTCTTCGGGCTGAGCCTCTTTCCTTTAACACAGGCTGGTCAACAGTGAAACCCCCAGCTGGTCTGCACTCACCCGACCCCCCCTAAATCCCTTCTCTACACAGCAGGCCCCACATCGCCTGTCCCTCCTCAGCCCAAAAATGGTAATACTACTACTAATGACGCCATGGGATTTAAACAACAGCAAAATCCAAAGACGTGACAGGAAGTATTTGGCACAGCAGGCCCAGGAAGCACTCACGAGTGATCATCCTCATCAGCCACGATGCCGGTGAGCTTCGGCTCAGGCGCCATGGCTGGCCCCCAACATCCTGAGTACCCCCTCCCCCCCAGAAACCACTGTCCTGTTTCTGTCTCCCCACTGGAGAACCTCAAGGTTGGGGACCACAGTCAGGGGTCCCATCTTTACCTTGGAACCTGTGGGGCTGAACACAGGCAGGTACTCTGGAGTATGTGACAACTAATGGGATGAATAAACGAATAATGTCTACTGCCTTGCTCAGACGATTAGGAGAGGTCCCAGGAGCAATCCACATTTATAGTCCATACTCACACACTTCGAACACCCCCACGGGGTCCTTAGAGGTAAGAATAAATGAACAAATGATACCAGAGGAGGAAAGAGCCGAAAGGTCTGGGAAGAAGAGAGCCTCTCGGGGGTTGAGTGCAGATCTTCTCTTCATGAGTGACCTGTTCCCCAGGGCCCAGGTTCAGGGCTGAGTTCAGAGGGAAGACACCGCTGCAGGAGAGTGCCATCCATCGCAACCCCACAGAAAAACTGACATGGGGCAAGTCCAGGGGACTCGGGACAGGGACAGAATGGCGAGAACTCCCTCTCCAGGGGAACGCCATAACCCTGCATACAGGATGGAGGGAACTGCAAGTAAGGGAATGATCCTGCTGCTTGGCCTGCACCGCCCCCGCGTGGAAGGCTGCGCCATGACAGCCGACCTGGCTCCCCGGGGAGGACCGCTCCTGCTGCCCAGTCTCTGCACTCCCGGACTCTGGAACGGCCGTCTCCTTGCCAGTCTTGTCAGCCCCACGTTCTCCTGACAAGCAAAAGTTCCGGGCAAAGGCATCTGTACGTGCCTCCCTGTAGCCACCATGCACTGGTGATACTTTTACAGCTCGTACTTATTGACCTCCAGCAGCTTCTAATCCCTCCCCACGGCTGCTGGTCTGTCAGAACTGGGTGGACTGGGTTTGCTCAGCATCTTTTAGATTCCCTCACCAGGCATCTCCTGTGTCCCACCTGGAGAGTTTGCCCTGGGTCTTCCCTGAAGTTTCCTGCACCCAGGAAAGATCTAGGCCACTTGCTTTCTATCAACACCTCCGGCTGGCACAAACCACTTACCTGGCTGGTGTGAAGACGCCGCTGCCACTACTGAAGCTGGAGTCACAGGAACCATCGGGGCCTCCTGGGGACAGTGAGAGGAACAAGATGTCACGCCCAAGGGCTGCTGGGGTCTCGGAGTGCACGAGATCCCCGCTATGAGGACACGGACCCTCTAGCTCCCCACACCTTGATTCTGGCTCTTGAAGAGGACGGTAGCTCGGGAGCCCCGAGGACACAGTGCCACTCATTCCCCAAAGCTTGCTGGAGAGCACCCATGCTTGGAAGTTTTCAGGCACAGCGATCTCAAAAGGAGAAGGACACCTGTGCTCACACATCTGGGAAATCTCAGAAGGGACTGCTGGCCCGAGGGCATGTCACAAACCACTCCTGGGAAGGTCCACATTGTTAGCCACCCGGGAAATGAAAATCAAAGCTGCCAGGAGGTACCATTTTCACACCCACCAGGGGGGCTAAAACAAAGACAGAGTAAGTGTGTGAGGCTGTGGAGAAAGGAAAACGCTCGGAGCCTGTGGGTGGGAATGTAAAATGGTGTGGATGCTCTAACTGCCTGGCAATTCCTTCAGGGTTCAACGCAGTTACCCTATGACCTGGCAGTTCCACTCCTAGATAGATACCCCAGAGGAAAGGACACTTCTGTCCACACCGGAACCGCACACCACGTTCAGAGCAATCCCAATGTCTACCAGCTGATGAATGCATCAATAGAATGCGTTAGCGCCGTACAATGGACTATTATTTAACAATAACAAGGCGTGAAGTACTGATATGTGCTCCAACGTGGATGAAGACTGAAGATATGCCAAGGGAAAGAACCTAGTTGCAAAAGCCCACATATTGTAGGACTCCATTTGTGTGAAATGTCCAGAATGGACAGATCTATAAAGACAGAACATAGAATAAAGGTTGCCGAGAGCTAGGGGTAAGAGGCCATGATACCCAGTTTCTTAAATTAAAAAAAGCAAAACAAAAACCAAAACCTTTTTATTTTGAAATAATTTTAGATTTAGATTTATCTGAAATAGCACAGAATTTTGTTTACCCTTCACCCCGATGCTCCTAGTGTTAACATCATACGTTATCAAACCAGGAAAGCAGCACTGACACAAGACTATTAACAAAACTACAGAGCTAATTAGAACATCACCGGGTTTTCCACTCATGCCCTTTGTTCCAGGACAGAATCGGGGAGCACACGTTACATTTAGTTGTCCAGGCTTAGTCCCCTCCGATCTGGGACTATCATTGAAGCCCTGGTCAGTTACGCTGCAGAATGTGTTGCCACTTGGGTTGGTTGCGTGTCTTCTCATGATTAGGCTGAGGTTACACATTTCTGGAAGAACGCCACCAAAGTGATACGCCTTCTCAGTGCATCATGTCGGGGGTACATGATGTCTGTCTTGTTACCGGTGATGCTAAACCAATCATTGGACTGTGGTAGTGTCTGCCGGGTTTCTCTCCTGTGAGTTACTAGTCTCCTTTTTGTAATCAGTAAATATCTTGGGGAAGACTTGAGACTAGACAAATACCCAGTTTTTTCCTCAAACATTCCCTTGCTGATTTTGGCATCCATTGGTGGATCTGTAATAATTATTACTGTTGAGTTTCCCTAATGGTTATTTTCTGTTTTCCTCTGTCTTTCTACATTTATTAACTGGAATTCCTCTATATGGAAAAGCTGTCCCTTCTCATCCATCCATCCATATCATTATGTATATATATTTTATTCTGTGGATTACAAAATAAAACTATCATTATTTATATATTGTTGTTCAAATGGTACCAGCCTTGACCTGTTAGAAGTTTTAAATTATACAAGTAAAACATTCTCATTCTAAAAATTTCAAGCAAAGCAAAGCATGCTTCATCTCTCCCTAGCCTTCAATCTTACTTCACTCTACGTGCAGGTAATCACTTTACTGGTTAGGCAAGTATCCCTCTCCATCTTTTGCTTTCCTTCTTTTTGTTCTGTAACATAAATGGAATCACAGGGTATTTTCTGCAATTTGCTTTTTTTCCCTTTTTTAACTTTGTATTATGTCTTAAAGCAGTCACTGCTATTCCTGTGGACCACGGACCACCCCCCAATCCCAAGGTAAAGAGGGCCTTGATTTCCACGTTGAACAGAAAGGCTCCGAGCTGCTGCCTGTCTCCTCTAGTCCCAGAGGCCCTTTAGGGGATGGGGCACAGCTCGGTAGGGACAGGTATGGGCTGGGCATGATGGGACAGACCTGGGCCCAAAGGGGAGGACTTGCAGGGAAGCCTGGGTGGGCCAGCCTGGACCGGCAGCCAGGACTCCGTGCTCCCAGTGGCCTCCTCTGTGTTGACTTCTAGAAACACACACGTTTGTAGATGAAATGACCCGATGTCAGAAATAGGCTTCAAATTAATTTCAATTGTTTCCTAACTTTCACTCTTCCGCCTCCCCCATGCGTCCTCCTGTGGGAGCACATCTCTCCAGGGTCCCACGTGGGGGGTGCTGCTGGGGGAAGGGCCAGGCATTTTATATTTTAATCCATATTGATCAGCTGCTCTTTAGGAAGGTTCTACCAATAACAAATGCGCTTCAGGAACAGAGGAGCAGTCGATCCCCAGCAAGCCTCACACAGGGATATTAGTAATCTTTTACTTTTTGCCAAGTTGATGAGTAAAAATGGTACATTGTTTTACTCTGCAATGCTCCCCTTTTCAGTCAAGCTGTACATCTGTGGCTTCCCTTTTTGTATTATTCCCTCCTCAGAGAACCAGGGTGTAAACAGCACTAGAAGCATAGACTCAGAGCCCTTGGGGCGAAGTGTGAGCCGGGACTCCCTTACTTACTAGCTGTGTGACCTTGGGCAGCTTACTGGACTTTGCCTCCAGTCCCTCACCTGTATGATGGGGTAACCAGTGCACCAGGCTTGTTAGGACAGTACGTCAGCTACCATTTGTTAGGTGTTCAAAATGAAAAACCTTAGCTACGTCTCTATTTCCTAAGGACAAATTTTTAAATGTTTATGGCTTCTGACACATGCTGCTGAATGTATCTACCAGACGATGTATTTCACTTGTTTACTCTGTGCCTCTTCCACTAAGAATGCTCCTTGCCCCCAAGTCTCCACAGGGGATATGTATTTCCTTCATGATCAGAGTAAAATATGGGGGTGGGGTGGGGGCCGAGTGGAAGCTAAGGAGAAGGAAAAGATTCAGTTCAAATGACTGCCATGGACCTGGCTTGGAGCCCCCAGTCCTCTGTGACCACATGGAGGGCCACATGTGATTAAGTGATTAAGCAACTGTGGGTCTGCCCCTGAGCTCCCTGCAGGCAGGACCTGGGTCTGATTCACCTGCATCTGGAGGGTCCACAGAAGCTGCTGATACACCCAGGCCCATCAAAGCCTTGCAGATGGATGGATTCCATTACACATCTACCAACGGTGGTTGCCAGCCCTCTCCTGGAAACACTATTCACAGCTCTACCCCTCACCTGCCACATGAATTTCTATCCCTGACCCTCTATGGTCCCTCATTTAGGACCTACCAGGGGCCCATTACCATCTGAGAAAGGCTGGTGATAAAAAACAAGGACGCAAAAGCCCTGCCCTGAGAGTCTTGCTAAGTAAGTAGATGGATATGTGATACGCATGTATTAAAACAGTTTGACACGAAAGCACCTGTTGCTGAGAGTGTCTGGCCTTTGCCATGTGCTAAAAGCTTTATAAGCAAAAATCTCGCTTAAAACTCACCATCACACTACAGGTTTGGTATTCTTATTGTTATCCTATTTAACGAATACGGAATCAGAGGCTTAAAAAGGCTCAGCGGCTTGTCCAAGGGCAACAGAAAGGAAGTTAACAAAGCCAGGACTCACCAGCAGGCCGCTCTGACCCCAGAATCTAGGCCAGGACACTTGAGACAGTCAGGCAGCATCATGGAGAGGAAGAGGGAGCACAGAGCAAGAGCCCAGGAACTCCGAGCAAGGGCACTGCATTATGGACCCCTCAAGTGGCAGGGCCAAGGGGAAGCCAGAGCAAGTGGAGAGGGGCTGGGGACAGTGCGGCACAGAGGAGGCCCCGTGGTTGGAGGTGAGGGCGAAGTGCACGCGTGCACGTGTACGCTAAGGCACAGAAGGCTTGGCTGACCAGTGTCGTCATGGATCTTGCACCACCACTCCCCCTTGCCCCCCCCCCCCAATGAGGGAGACAAGGCAGGAGGCTCCTGCCTTCGGCCAGGTGACCAGGGCTGGAACAGTGGAGCAAAACAGTAATAAGAAAAAGGGCCAGAGGCTGGGATGAACCTCTCGACTTGACTAGCTGAACCATCACTGTCTCCTGGCTTGCTGGGGCCTTCTCCTGGCCCTTTGGTAAAGTGGTGGTTACAAGCTAAGCGCGTCTGCAGTGGATTTGGAGCCCCCAGATTAGCTGTGATCATCTCTAGGAACTACTATACACTGAGCTTTGCATCTGCTGAAATGCTGTTTATGAGGCAGTAAAAGCCAGAGCCAAGCTGCCTGAATGGATCCCGGTCTCGCATGAGAGTCTCCTAAGCAGGGAGCTGTTGCAAGAGTGCTTAGGAAAACGATCTAAAAAAGTGAAAGAAGCTGCGATGGTTGGCAATGGCACCCTGGTTTCTGGCAGGCGAGGGTACTACTGCTGAACCCCCTGTGCTCCAGCTGGGGTTATCAACAGCTGCCAGGACCTGCAGAAGAGAGTGGTTCCTTCCCACGGGGCCTGACTTGTTGCCACATAAGCAGAAAGGGTGGGGTAGGGGCTGCTGGGTTCCACTCTGGGGGAAGAGGCAATGATTTTATTTAAAAAACTGAGACATAGTTCATGTAACATAAAACTCACCATTTTAAAGCATACAACTGGGTGATTGTTTGTAAATCCACAGTTATGTTAAGCATCACCACTATTTAATTCTAGAACGTTTCTGTCACCCCCCCAAAGAAAGCAGGCATCCAATTCCCTCTTTCCCTCCAGATCGGCAACCATTATTCTACTTTCTGATTCAACGGATTAAGAGGCACTAACTTTTAAAGTCAGTATAAAATATTCACAACTTCTCCATGTTGCAACTTGTCAAGCCAAAAACAAAACAAAACAAAAATGAAAAGAAGCCATCCCACAAACAAAAAAAGCAAGATGTGGAATTATGTAAACCATATGATCTCATATATATGGAAATATATATATATATAACATACATGTTATTATATGTTATATGTATATAACAAAAAATATGCCGAGATTATACTAATTGCCTCTTGGTGGGGGCAGTCTTCCTTCTGTATATTGTTCTCTACTTTCCAAATTTTCTAAAATGAGAATCAAAAAATGAAAAGGTAATAAAATACTCATACATCAGTGAAAGTTCACTAAGCAAGTCTATCCCTGAGATTCTTCTAGTTTCTCCTAATAAGAAAGCTCCTGCTTTGAGAGGCTCACACTAACTTTATCTCCACAAGTTTTCTTTTTCAAGGAGCTGGCAAAAAGGTTTCAGTTGCTGCGTTGCCTGGGAATCGAACCCGGGCCTCGAACCCAGGCCTCCCGTGTGGCAGGCGAGAAGTCTACCACTGAACCACCCATGCTCCACTTGAGGGCTGCTGTGCCTCCCACTGTTTTGCTGCTCGGGCTCGCCAAAGCGATGCACAGCTGTAACCTGACTCCTGACTGGTCCAGCATGGAATGCTACTGGTTTGGCCAGCCAAAGCCAGGACAGGAGGCCCATGGGGCTCATGTGCCTGACGTAGTGCTCAGACGCTCAAGAGAAGTCGGAGAACGGCCACTGGAGAAAATGCTTTAGAAATTCTTTTGGCTCCTGGAACTCAGGTTCCAGACCTGAGTCTGTTAGCCTTAAAAATGTGAGTAAGCTCTGCATCAGTTTACTCTCTGGCTGACTCTGCAAAGGAGAACATCACCCCGAAGCTGATCAGTGCCCTCTTATTAAGGATAGAGGCCCCTTAACAAAATAAAGTCAGAGTTGTAGAAAACATCTAGAGAGTCAAACTCCAGACTGACTTAAGAGTGGTTTTATGTTATGGAGAAATAAGACGATAATGCTGAAAGAGGCTGAAAGGATGGCAGAGCCATTTCATTTCATGAAGACACGGACTTGGGCTGGAGAAGCCCCCAGGACTGAAGCTGCATCCGCAGCTCTTAGCCTTCTCCCCCGAGCGCCTGCATGGTCAAGGCAGCTGGCTTCCGGGCGGCTGGATGTCTACGGCCAAGAGTCACGTGAACCCTGCAACCTGGACTCCTCTGCCAGGCTCCAAAGCTTCCCACAGTGAAAACAACTATTTCCTGTAGCCGGACACAGAAAAAGATTTCAAAAAGGCTTAATGCTGAGGCAGGGAGAGTTCAGAGCAGGGGTTCTGGAGGCAGACTGCCAGGGTTCACTTCCTAGTTCTCCCAGATCCTGGCCATGCGATCTGTCTTCCCTGTGCCCATCTGTAGAATGGGGAGAACGGCAACTCCTACCTTATCGGGTAGTTACCAGAATTACATGAAGTGACATCTGGGAAGTCACCTGGGCTGGTTCAGTGAGGCCCCACGTCAAGTCACGCTGGGAGGTAAGGGGCGGGAGGCAGAGCCTACTCACCACCAGCTGTCCCTTCCTGCTTGGCCAGGGTGTCATCGGGGTTGGGCTCTGCCGGCCTCTGCGCCGTTGGCTTCAGCTCATCAGGCTCGTCATCCTCAGGGGTGACCAGCTTCATCAGGCTTTGGTTACACACGTTGGCCACCTCCTTGATGCCTGAGTCCACTGATGTAAGGAGTAGCCCCACCCAGGGGGTGTTTCCTAAACCTGACGTCACTGGTATTGGTCAGGGACTTGGACACCACTGCCCCCACCCCCAGAGGTGGATTAGTGGGCTGTCTGCACTGAGTCCCTGTGAAACGCTCCTGTCTTCTCGTAGGACCCTTCCTGGTGGGCTTTCTACCAACAGGACTCCCCCACCCATGACAGGGCAGTGTGAGCTCAGGGGCTTGGAACTGTGGGACCTGGGAGAGCTGCTCCAGATCTGTAAGAAACCAGGTGAGGTCTGGGGACAGTGGTGTTAGGCCATGGCCCTGGTGCCGCCCTGGTGCTCCCAGTCCCTGTCCTGCTCCGCCGCTTGCTCCCTAGGTGCCAGGGGCTATCTGGAGGGAACCCCCATCCCCCCATGCCGGGGTCCTGCAACTTCACAGCCTCCTTTGGGGCTGCTCTGGTTTCCTCTCTCCGGAGCGAAGGATACTTTTCTTGCGGTCATCATAGGCCAGGCAGGGCAAGACGGCGGTCAGGATCCCAGAAGAGTAGGGCAGCATCACCCGGCCAGCCAGCTGGATGAACTCCCGCATCCAGCACATGGCCGTCAGCTGGATCAGGTCATCTGGAAGAGAAATTGGTGGGTTCCAGGACGGTCAGCACGAGCAGCCGGAGTGCTCCCTCCCACTGACCATGCCCGCAGGAAGGGACTGGAGGGGACCCGAGGGCCTGAGTTGCTTCTAGCCTGATACTCTCTCGCCTTCCAAAGATACACACACGAACGACAATCTTGTAGCAGATGTAAGAGTAGCCATGATTCTCTACCCTCTGCACCCAGAAAGGGGCTCCACAGCTCGTTTCATCAAGGGGTGAATTCACTTCCCCACCTCTTGAATCTGGGCTGACCTCCCTACTGCGGCCAGGCTCACAGTGTCAGAAGTGAAGGTGTCAGAAGTGAAGGTGTCAGAAGTGAAGGTCTGGCAGTTCAAACCCAGGCCTCCACAGGCCTTGCTCCCCTCTACCACACGTCTTGGGACCTCACTGATGCCATTTGAATGCATCTGGGTTAGTATGCTGGATGATGAGACACATGGACCAGTGGTCCCTGCTTCCCAGGTGCTGCCAGCTAACTGGCAGACATGAGTGAGGCCATCCCAGACCACCCAGCCTCTGACGACCCTTCAGTGCACTGTATGTGCATAATCAAGTGCAGCCAAGCCTGGCCCAGGTGAACAGAGCCATCTAGCTGACCTATAGTCTCCTGACCAACAGTAAGTAGCTGCTATGCGAGGCAGTCAGTTTTGTGGTGGTTTGATACTCAACAGAAGCTTGTGGATACATAGTCCCAACCTGTAAGTATTTCAATTCATAGTGAAATGCCAAGCTTCCCAGCAAGAGGGTCTCCAGATCTTACTCCAAGGTCAGACCAAGCGCAAGGGCCTCCACAGTGATGGAGGACCTGAATCTCTCTCCCACAAGGATGCACCGCTGCGCTGCCCCAGGTCCAGTGGGGTGCGGGTTTATATTCCTACCGGGGTTCTTGCTGCTTCTGAGGAGGTGGTGGTGGCCATGGGGCCTTCATCCTCACCTGTGGTCTGGCAGTGGATCACCAGGATGTTGGCCATCTCTGCAAACTTAACACTGGAGGGGTTCTTCTTAATCTCTTTCAAGAATTCTCCAAGGACCACCTCACACCTACCAATGAGAGAAGGAAAAGAGCATATACCAGCCAGGCCTGGAGGAGCCTCTCCTGGTGTCCGCTTCTGCTCTGGGTGGGCCACTGGGAGGGGGACTACACTGCACAGCAGCCCGATGGCTCTTTTCCAGAGGCCGGGGGCTGCTCTCTGCTCCTCAAGGCAAGAAGCACACGGGAGCCAGGATGAAGCGAGTGAGCGGATTCTCCCACGGCCGCCCGTCTGCTGGGTGTGGGGCATCTGCTGGGTGTGGGTTGTGTGCCGAGCAGCCGCACGCCCCTCCCCCTCCCCCTCCCATGCTCACATTTTCCGAATCTCTTTGCCATTGTCACCCAGGATCTGGAAGAGCCCGTCCAGGATCTCCGGCAAGTAATCCAGCAGGTTGATGTCTGGCACGGACTCCAGAACCAGGATCTGACCCAGGGAAAGGAACGGGAAGGGAAAGTTACACCAGCCCGGGAGCCTCTGTCTCCTCCTCCCCAGCGCTCTGTGACTGGGCAGGGAGAAGGCGCCGTGATTCCCAGCCCCGGCAGACAAGGCTTTGGTTAAAGGGGCAGGGAAGAAGGGAAGGCACGGGAAAGGACAGACAAGGCTTGAAGAGGTATGGCTGCCGACAGCAGCACCCCCGGCTTCAAAGAGACATGGGGGTGTTTGCCGGGACACCGGGGGCAAACAGGACGGGCTTTGGGGCAGAATGGAATAAACGTGTCGGATTACCGGGCGTCACTGGCTATTAGAGGCTTAACAGTGAGGCTTGTCTCAGCCATAGGATGCCCAGGGTGTGTGCCAGAGGGCAGCTTTTACTACTAGAGGCTCCTTATGGCTGGAGAAACTGTCGTGGGGCTGGCCCTTACCCAGGAGATGATGAACTGCCGGGCGTACTGGTTGTTGGAGTAAATCCTCTCTCGCAACAAAGGGATGAAGCCCACCAGGTCGAACTTGTTGCTCTCCGTCACAATGTCCTGTGGATCAAAGGCACGTGAGCGGCCGAAAGCCAGAGACCAAGGGCAGCCTGACCCGACCCAATTATTGGCCCAGGGGTCAGGTGGCCACAGAGGAAAATGACAGAGCTCACGCTACATAGGAGAGGTCCCGGGGCAACCGCCCGCTCATAGGCCAAAGGACAAACAAAAGTGCTGGAGTAAAAGCAGGAATCAGAGTCAAGAGGACTAATCATACGACAAAACCCTACATCTGGATCAAATGCCCTGGTGAGCTGAGCATCAGAGGCCCCTGTCACTGGGTGGGAATGGGAGGTGATGGGGACTCTCCTTTGTCCTAGGGAGGCGGTTAGCACAAGGGGATGTTTGGGATGATAGAATGTTTCTGTATTCTGACTGGTGACATAAGTCTGTACACTTGTCATAGAACCGTACACCAGGGGTGCCTGGGTGGCTCAGTCAGTTGAGCATCTGCCTTCGACTCGGGTCATGACCCCAGGGTCCTGGGATCGAGCCCCACGTCGGGCTTCCTGCTCAGCCGGGAGCCTGTTTCTCCCTCTCCCTCTGCCCCCTCCCTGCTTGTGCTCTCTCTCTCAAAATAAATAAATAAATAAATAAAAAAGAACTGTACACCAGAGTCACTTTTACTGTATGTAAATGAAAAAAATTTTAAAAATTAGGAAGAGCGCCTCCAAAGAGAGAATTTATAAGCTGTATAGACAGGTAGAAGAGACAGATTCCAAAATAAAAGCAGGGACCAACTACTACCTTTAAAAGGCGGTCTAGGAGCTCAGATCCACTTTTCACATTGGGGTCTGGGTCTGCAGCCAACTATGAGAGATCCAGAAACAGAGAGACGGTTACAGTCTATACAGGACCAGGAACCTACCGAAAACCCGTACAGCCAAGTCCCCGGCACAGCCTGGACTACTGAACAGGCACCTCCTTTAGGGACTACACTGAAGGCAGGCAGGGAGGAAGGGACGGGCAAAATGGCACGTGGCCGAGGAACGGAAATGCGCGGGCTTCCCGTTCTGTGCAGGGACCTCTGGCACCTCCTGCCACCAGGCCAGGTGGTGGGTTCCCATCAGCCTTCCTCAAGGGTTCCCCATCCTACCATGCTGGGTCCTCTCTCTGCTCCGGGAGGTGGGGACTGAGGCAGCTGTGAGGCTGGCACCCTGGGAACGACTGTGGCGGTCAGCAGGCTGCAGGGCTTCGGGGCCACCCTGTGCCCAGAGGCGCACCCTGTGAGGCTGAGCGCGCTGCTGAGGATGGCGTGTTAGGGGCTCCTCGGCCCTTGTAAGTAGAGCTTTTTCTAGAGCTTACGGGCTAGTGCTCCCCTCACAGGGGAAATACAGTCTGTACTATGGATTCACCATCTTCGCCTTCTATAAGGGAAGATAGGGCTTTTCGAACTATCTGTATTTCCCCTGCACTCTGTGGTGGACTGACACTTTCATAAACTGCGATAAAAATCAATTAATAGAGAAATGGAAAAAAAAAATCAAACACCCGTACAAGGCCACAAGAGACAATGATGATGAGACTGAACGGACGAGCGGCGCCGGCAGGCCTGTGTCTCTCTGCTCTGGCCGCATCCGGGAGAAGGGGCCCCAGGGGTGCCGCGCACGGGGCCGGCCGCAGCAGGGGCAGTCACCTTGCTGAGCCCGTCGAAGAGCACGTTGAAGTGGGGCAGCACGGCGCCGCGGGCCACCTTGACGATGTTGTACAGCGCCTCACACGCGTAGTAGCGCAGCCGGCTGTCGGCGTCGTTGAAGCAGGTTAGCACCGGCTCGATGAGCTCCTTCAGGTACAGCCCTGAGTCCTGCAGGGGGGCGGGAGGAGAGACAGCTCAAGGTGGGCCGCGCCGGGGGCCCGCAGCCCCCCCACCCCCGCCCCAGCGGACATCCTGGCTCCCCGGAAGAGGCTCAGGCCTTCGCGTGAGGGCCGGCCTTAAGCAAGTCGGCCTCCCGGGCCGGGGGCCAGGCCGCGGACCGAGGGCCGCAAAGCCAGCCTGGCTGGTCTCAGGTGTGGCGTGAATGGCGGTAAAGCAGAAGTCTGCAGCAGCCTGCTGGGTCTGGGCGGTCAAAGTGAAGGCCACCTCGGCTGCATCTGTCCCTTCAGGAGAAAGGCCCACCTTGCCCAGTGCGATAGAGCAGGCGGCCAGGCCGATGAGGCCCCCCTTCCGGCTGTGGGGGTGCTGAGACAGGGCAAACTCCTGAGACAGGGTCTGGATCACATGCTTGATTTGCACGGTGTTGTTCTGGGCCACAAACTCCCGGACCAGCCTGGAGAGAGAGGAGAGAGGGGCTGCAGGGCAGTGGAGTCAGGCTCCCCCTCGGCTGCTGGCTCCAGGGCCAGGGATGTGGCAGGGAGATGACCTGTTTAGAAAGAGGAATCAGAAGTCCTGCACCTTAGGGTGGGCCTGTCCCAGTTCTGCTGCCGACTGGAAGGCACTGGCTGGGTCACGGTTCGTTTCCCTATTTTGGGTCGCAGTTTCCCTTTGCGTACAACAGCATGAGCAACAGCAGAGCTACCTCACTTCTGGGAATCTGAGAGAATGCAAGGGAATGTCTTGTTGGGGACCAAAAACTGCAACATCAACCATCTTTATTCGACACTGGCTAGACCCTCCAATCCTGTGCCCGAGAGTTTCTCTGTGTCTGTGTCGTCATGTCCATGGATGGTGCTCAATCAGGTCCCAGTCCGGTGGGCAAGATCCACATACAAACAAGTAACTGTCGCAATGTGGTGCAAGGGATACTACGAAAGCCAGAAAAATGCCATGTGCTGATCTCCTGGGGCTGAATGGGAGGTGCCTGGATCAGATCGGAAAAACACCTGCAGGCGCTTTTCAGGTCAAGGGCAAGGTACAGAGGAGAGACTGGCCAAAGGCAAAGAGCCCTGAAAAGGCATGGTGTATTGAGAGAAGGACAGGAGTTTGGCCTGTGGAAGGAGTGGCCAGACAGTTCAAGGAAGACAATCCAGTGACAGTTCCCCAGCAATGGGATGACATGCTCAGATCTGTTTTAATTAGGTAGCTCTGGTGGCAGCCTGGAGAGACTGGGATGCCGGGGCAGGTTTGACAGGAGACGGAAAAATCTTTTTTTTTTTTTTTTAAAGATTTTACTTACCTATTTGAGACAGAGAGAATGAGAGAGACAGAGAGCACATGAGAGGGGGGAGGGTCAGAGGGAGAAGCAGACTCCCCGCCAAGCAGGGAGCCCGATGCGGGACTCGATCCAGGGACTCCAGGATCATGACCTGAGCCGAAGGCAGTCGCTTAACCGACTGAGCCACCCAGGCGCCCAGGAGACGGAAAAATCTTAGCATCATCAGGAAGGAGGGCCTGAAACACACCTGAGGCAGTGGGAAAGAGCAGGGAGGGGCTGCTTTACTTCAAACAGAAGAGCATCAGGAACCCATGGAACATGGGAGCCAGAGAGGGCAGGTCTGCCTCCAAGGTGTCCACCTGGGGAGTGACGCTAAGAGGGAGAAGGGAGGTTGGAGGGAGGCCCCTGGCGTGGAAGGGAGCACCTGTGGTCACCCTGGGGGATGATCCCACGGCAAGCCCTGCCCGGTGAGGAAGACAGCAGAGGGAGGCCGGGTTTCATCAGGAACCGGTCTCAGAGAACTGATAACCGGCTCCCCAGATAACTGATGGGGAGCTGTGGCCTGGGTGTCGGGGACATCTTCCCAGAAGAGGTCCAGTTTCAGCTGGACCTTGAAAGAGGCAAGGAGAGAGAAGGAAACAGGGGTGTTCCGGGCAGGAGGAAATGTAAGAGCCAAGGCGAGGAGGGGATCTAATCAAGCTTGTCTGGGGCCCCAGGGGACGGAAGAGCAGCGAGAGACCTACCAGGATGGGCTGGCTATGGCCACTCTGGCCATCTCAGTTTAGGTAGAATGGATTTCGCAGCATGGGTAACAGGGAAGCTTCTTACGGTTTTGGAAGAGCACAGGGAAGGAGTGTCCTTAAGGAGCTGTGAGACGGACGGAGCCCATCCCGTCGTCCAGGCTGATGCACACTGCTACCAGTGTTGCAGCCAAGGGGCCGTCCACAGAATAGGCACTTGGCAAAGCAGCTGCCCGGACTCACTGTCTAACTGCTCTGTGTCCATCGTGGCGGGACAACTGCACGCCTGCCGCATAAATGGGGGTCTCAAGTTGGCTCGAGGAGTTTTAAGGACAGTTAAGTCCAAAAGGTATCAATTAGTCTATGTGGTTCCAGCTCTGTGTCAGGAACCTGCCAGGAATTAGAGCTGTTCAAAAACAAACGTGCTGCCCTATGAGGCAATGACCACTCCTACAAAAAGGCTGTTCAAGGAGGGGTCGACACGGTTTGATGAAGATTTAATACTGCAAGTCGTACAGGGAACCTATTCTGTGCCAAGCACTGTGAGCACAGCTGTGAACAAAACAGGCCCGGCTCCCAAGCTGGTGGATGTGGGAGCAGGGATGGGTATTTCAGGAAGGTGGTACAAATGGCCTGCGAGGTGCCTCTTTCTTTGATCTTTACAGGGTGATATTCCACCAAGCTGAGGTGCTGAGGGCTATGGATGGACCAAGGGCCTCCAGGTGCAAGCTCAATGCCGGTTCCATAGGCCAACCCTCTCCTCCCCGCTCCTCCCAAAGCAGCCCAGTAAGGCGCAGCAAGGATGGTTCCCTGTAAACGGCTCTGGCTTCCCAAACTGGACAAACTAGTCAGGCGAGGCACAGTGATCTGCCAGAGCTCCTCTCTGAGTAGCCACAGACACAGCCCCTTGAGAAAAGCCCTGCAGATATGTCAGCATTGGTGGTTCAGTGGTAGAATTCTCGCCTGCCACGCGGGAGGCCCGGGTTCGATTCCCGGCCAATGCAGGGCTGCTCCTTTTTTTTTTTTTGCCTTTTCCTGGCAGGCTTCCCCTCGTACAGAGATCCTGCTGGAGGAGCCAATCTCCTCAAGCACGCCGGCCTACGGCAGCCCAGGGCGCTCTGGATTTGACCTCACTTCCCTGCTCAGTGAGCCGAAGAACAGCAGCTGGGCTCTCCGGAGAGGCACCACTGGCTGTGGGGACCAAGGCCTTCACGCCCTCCACAGTGAGGGCCTCAGCCTGGGCCAGTCTCCAGCGGGAAGCTGGGGTGAAACCTGAGAACTGTAAACCAGCTCAGCACGCAGGGAGCATGCAACAGGGGAATCCACACATCCGAGGGGCAGAAAGTCATCCAAAGTCTCCGTGTGCTTTTTGCTACTGGGGAGGGACCTGAGCTCCAGTTTCTGGCCTGACGTCTGAAGGCAAAGCAACTTCTCTCTCTCGCTCAC